CTTTGATAAGATCAATAAAATGGATAACCTTCAGCTGGGCATATTAGAAAATAAAGTGACCTAAGTTATCAAAAAAGAAAAAGAAACTGGTATATATACACAATGGAATGTTACTCAGCCATTAAAAAAAAAAATTATGGAGTTTGTCAGTAAATGGATGGGACTGGAGAATATCATGCTACGTGAAATAAGCCAGTCCCAAAAAAACAAAGGCCAAATGCTTCTGATATGCCAACACTAATTTCACAACAGGGATGGGGGAATGGGGGAGGAGAATAGAAGTACTTTGGATTAGAAAAGGGAAAATGAAGGGAATGGAGAGAGGTAATAGGAATAGGAAGGATAGTAGAATGAATCGAACATTACTATCCAATGTGCATATAGGATTACATGACCAATGTAATTCTACATCATGTATAATCAGAAGAATGAAAAACTATACTCATTTGTATATAATATATTAAAATACACTGTTATAACTAATCATGTATAACTAATTAGAACGCATATTTTAAAAAAATATGTGCATTTAAAAGAGTGGTAGATTCATCAATATGCTGTCCTTAAAAATGTACCAGTTTCCATTACCATTAGCAGTTTTTAATTTGTTGTTCTTTTTTAGATATACATGACAGTAGAGTGTGTTTTGACATATTTATATATGTGTGTGTGTGTGTGTGTATATATATATATATATATATGTATGGGGGGATATGAATATTACCTACTCTAATTAGGATCACATTCTTGCAGTTGTACATGATATGGATTGTCACTGATCTGTATTCCTATATGAACATGGGGAAGTTCTGTCTGATTCATTCTACTGTCTTTACTATTCCCATCCCTTCTCCCTTACCTTCCTTCCCCCTTGTCTAATTCACTGAATTTCTATTCTTACCCTCCTCACTAAACACTGGGTATTACAATTTAAAAATAGATTATTATCATTTTAACTAGTACTGCTTTTGTGAGTGAAATTGAACATTATTGTCCATTGTTTTTTTTCTGTGTTCTCCCTATTTTGTTAGGTGTGTTTATCTCACTAGTTTCTATATTCTTTACATTTTTTAATATTTATTTTTTAGTTGTAGTTGGACACCATACCTTTATTTATTTTTATGTAGTGCCAAGGATCAAACCCAGGGCCTTGCATATGCTAGGCGATCGCTCTACTGCTGAGCCACAACCCTGGCTCTATTCTTTACATTTTAATGAAGTTTTTTTGTTAAATGTTGTAAATATTTATCTATAACTTGCTCTTTGTCTTTCAACTTTGTTTGTGGTTAATGGGTTATTATTATTATTATTATTTTTTATGTGTGTGTGTGCCAGGGAGCTTTAGCCTCACACTTGCTAGGCAAGTGTTCTATCTTGAGCTATACCCTCAGCCTCTTGGTATTTTTAATCATGTAAATTCAGCTTTTTATATGCTTATCTTCTCACCTCCTTGGTATGTTATAACTTCATGAGGGCTAGCACTTCTTTTTATTAGTTATTGTAAACAGTGTTCCCCTACCTTATCTATACTATTGCCTTTTTATAGATGCTCAGTAAATAATAGTTGAGTCCTCCCCAAAACTGTAGGGGGAAAAATATTCTTTTTGACACTCATATGTTTTATAAGGATTAAAAATAATTAAAAGTGACCAACCACAAGAATTTGTAAACAATGGTGATTGTTTAGAGATTGAAACAAAATGAGCAGTTTTTCATTTGTTTTTTTTAATCAAGTAAGTTAAAATGACCTTATAATGATCAGGAAGACGTTTAATAGGCACTTATTACTCTAAATGTAAAGAACAAATAATTAAGAATTTCTGTTTTCTTTCTCTTTTCTTCTTCTTCTTTTTTTTTTTTTTTTTAATTTTTTTTGGTAGTGATGAGTTCAAATCCCAGAGCCTCATGCATGCTGGGCAAAGTTCTTTACCACTGAGCCAGAATTTCTTGATGTGACTTTATCAGAACTCTAAAGCACAAAAAGAAATCATAACCAACTGAGAAAACAAAATGAATTTTCTTTAACTGTGATTCTTTTAAAAAGTATACAATCTAGCCAACTACTAATCATAGAAAGGCAGCCCCTCCCCCATTAGAGTGAATCAGATATAATCATGATTGTGTCAAAAGTTCAAAAGGGAAAATGGAAGGTAAAATGAGCTGAATTGGCACTGTTCTCTCAACATTGTACCTGTAAGCTTGATATGTTGTTTCAGAGATTAACTTTGTAGACTTCCGTACCCAGAAGTATGAAAATTCTTAGGGAACTCTTTTCACAAGCTTGATCTTAACATACTGAATAAAGAGAGCAGTTAATCCCTTTTGTAAAGTAATTTGAGAGAAGGGAATTCAAAATGTAAAATCTCACCTGCAGAAAATACTTAACTCTGTAAAGGCCTTTCTATCTTTAGACACTTACAAAGACTTAATATTTTAATGCGGAAGTATGAACTTGGTTAAAAAGCCAATGGGTGAAATTAGAGAGAAATAATCCAGTGCTTTCTTTTTTGGGAATTATCATTCTGCTCTCCGGGGGACCTAATTTTATTACTCAGAGGAATGAGAATACCTCTCTGTATAGCAAGCTAGCATCTCTAAATTCAAGCTTGACTTTTAGTATAATGAGAGTCTTGTTAGATGCAATTTTGCTCTTAGTCATTAATACAATGAACAAATGTTGTGGTTACCTGGGAAAGAAAATTCAAGTGCTTTTAAACCTCTTGTGAGATTTGGTTTCATGCTTGAAACGTATACACCTTTGTACCCAATAGCATCCATAGAAGATTCCAGGCTCTAAGGTGTACAACACAGAGAAGTTAATACACTTTGGAAAAATTGACACCACTACAAAATGGATTTAAGGTCTTGAGTAAAAAACTTTTCTTTTGCTGTATGACAACTATTTACTAGTGGCATCGAGTTTAACAAATGAGTAGATTTTTCTTAGGAGTGAATTTTTACAAGATATTGATGTCCCTCTCTATCCAAAGTAAGAAGCCAGTCTTTCCTTCATTTGGCAATGAATTTTTTTCTTTTTAGTTATAAAATGATTTAAAGTTCTTTAAGTTTAAAGACTGAATTTAAGACAGAATGTATTCTGAGAGAATACATAGTATTAAATATCATTTTTGATAGAGTATGACACTCATTGTGTTAAATCATTTCTGTTTTCTACAAGCCTTGTGATAAGCACATTTAAAAATCTGTTCTTGGGACTGGGGATGTGGATCAAGCGGTAGTGCGCTCGCCTGGCATGCGTGGGGCCCAGGTTCGATCCTCAGCACCACATACAAAGAAAGATGTTGTGTCCGCTGATAACTAAAAAATAAAATATTTTAAAAAATAAAAATCTGTTCTTGATAATAAGTGGTGGTATCCTACTGCTTCTTCTAATTGACCTTAATCATGAAACCATATTTTATTGGATTTGGTAGCTTTTTTTTTTTTTTTAAAAGAATATAATAAAAATATAGGAATTTTTTCTTTTAAGTTTAGAAGTTGACAGAAGTGGCAACAACTAAGTAACTTTTGCAATCTTGTACAGAATATAGTCTCCAAAAAATTTATTAATTTCAACTAATCTCATGAGACTGAGCATTATGTTTTTAGTTCTTAAACTTGCTTTCTTTCAGGAACAACCTGAATCTAGGAGGCTGGTCTGCCAAGTAGTGTAACTCTACTTTTAGTCTGATTAGGCTAACCCTTGAGCTACATTCCCAGCTCTTAATTTCCTATTTGTTTTAGTTATTTAAAAAAAATTTTTTTCTCCTTCCTACTTGTGGTAAGAGAGGAGAGACATTGCAGCACTTTCCCTTCTTCTTTTTTGGAATTTTTTAGAAACCCATTAAGAATAATTCTTTGTATTTCAAATGGGAGAAATAGAGAACAGAATGGTGTTTACCAGAGGTTGTGTATAGGTGAAGTGGACAAATAAATGGGAAACAATGGTCATCAAGTATAAAGTCATCGTTAGATGGGAAGAATAAATTCTGGTGTTCTGTTGCACAAGAGGTATTAATATTAAAGTATGTTCCAAAATACCTAAAATGGAGGATTTAACCATGATCTCACAACAACAAAAAATGATAAATATCTGAGATGATGGGTATTTTATTTCTTAGATTGGATCATCCTACAATGTATATATGTATTAAAATGTCACTTTGAACCTCATACATGTATGTCAATTAAAATAAAACTTTAAAATAATGCTTATTCATTTCTTCTATTATGCAAGATCTAATCTAGTCCTAATAACAGAATACTTTGTATTTCATTTAAAAGTCTATAAGGTGTTATTCCTCTTATGAGAACTATCTACTAAGCTAGGAAACAGTCAAATCAGTCTCCTCCCCCCACCGTTTTTCTTTTTTTCCTTTTGCTGGTATTGGAGATTAAGCTCAGGGCCTCAAGCATACTAGGTAAGTGCTCTGCCATTGAGCTACATCCCTAACCCAGAGCTAACCTTTTCTCACCACCCCTCAATTAACATTTTTACCAAAATGATAGAAAAAATATATTTTTGTATGTAAATAACCCTCAAGCAGAATGATATCCAAAAGCATACATGCAAAGGTACATTTTAAATGTTATATTCTCATTTAAAGTATATACTTTTAAACAATTAGCAGAGTTTCATTGTAATCAAATGTTTTTTTGGTACCAGGGATGAACCCAGTGGTGCTTAACCACTGAGCCACATAACCTGACCCTTTTTATTTTTTGAGACAAGTCTCACTAAGTTGCTTTGGGCTTCACAAAATTGCTGAGGTTCACCTCAAACTTCCAGTCCTCCTGCCTCAGCCTCCTGAGCTTTTTGGCATTCAGGCATGTGCCATCACACTCAGCCGTAATTAAAAGTTTTAATAAATCATTTTCTTATTTTAAGGTAACCCTGCTTGTCATATTATCAATTTGACAAGCATTGCTTTCCTCCCCCAGCTTTGAGGTCTCCTTAATGTGCTTCAACTTACAAGTGATTTTTTGTTTGTTTGTTTCAGACAAATCTTCCTATTTTCAAGCTGAAGGAATCTACTGTTAGAAGAAGATACAGTGACTTTGAATGGCTGCGAAGTGAATTAGAGAGAGAGAGCAAGGTAAAAATTACCTGTAATGCACCTTTGCAGAATATTTCAAGTTTTAATGTTCTTCTCAGGAAAATTATCTTAATTAAAATGAGTAAAAGCAAACATGATTTTTTGTTTTCAAATGTTTCATCCTTTCAACCTTGTGCTATTTCATGGGAAATAGAGAAAGAGTCTTGTAACTTTTTCTCAGAACTCTTTTCTTATCTATTTTAGTGGCACAATTGACACTTTTGCTAACTCACACTTGAATAACACTTTTTAGAACCTTCTTGCTATTGCTTTCTTCCTTCTCTAATTCTATTCCATCTTCTCAGTTCCAAAAGTTTTGCTTCCTCAGTGCATTTCATGTCAGAGTATTTCCAATTTTATCCTATTCATCAATAATAATATTTCCCCCCCCCCCACAACACTGAGTGTTCTTGAACCCAGGGCCTTGTACATGCTAGGTAAGCACTCTACCACTAAATGGTTCCCAGTTCCCCCTGCGCCTTTTTAAATTTTGAAACAGGGTTTTGCTGAGTTCCAGACTGACCTTGAACTTGGAATTCTCCTGCCTTAGCCTCCTGAGTAGCTGGGATTACAGGTGTGTACCTGTGCACCTGGTGTGTTAGTCAGCTTTGTACTGCTCTGATCAAAGTCTGACAGTAACAACTTAGAGGAGGGAAAATGTTATTTTGGTTTATGATTTCAGAGATTTAGTTCATGGTGAGTCAACCATTGCTTTTGGACCCAAGGCGAGGTTAGCACATTATGGCAGAAGGGCATGCCAGAGGAAACTGCTTAGGTCATGGCCACTGGGAAGTGGAGAGGGAAAGGGCCACAGGGAGAATACCCCCTTAGTGACCTACCTCTTCCAGCCAAGCCCCATCTGCCTACAGTTACCACTCAGTACATTCAAACTAGGGATGGATCGATTAGATTGCAGCTCTTGTGATCTACTCATTTCACCTCTGAATATTTCTGGATTAACATAGGAGTTTTGGGGGACCTGACTACATGTTTTAATTTTGGGAGACTTGGCTACATTTTTTTTTCATCACACATACATACATGCATACATATGTGGCAGAGTTTCATAAAACAATAATCTTTGCATGATATATGCTGATGTTCTTCAGGTTGGCTTTTTAAAATTTCCTTTTTTAAAAAAAAAATTGTTCTTTTTAGATATGCATGACAGTAGAATGTATCTTGACACATTATATATACATGAAGTGTGACGTACTCTAATTGGGATCCTATTTTTGTGCTTGGAGGTGATGTGGAGTTTCACTTGTGTTGTATTCATATATAAACACAGGAAAGTTCTGTCCGATTCATTCTACTCTCTTTCCTATTCCCATCTCCACTCCCTTCCCTTCCTTCCCCTTTAAGTAATCCACTGAACTTTTATGCTTCCCTCTCCCTACCCCCCATCACCATTGTGAAGTTGGCTTTTTAAATGGTGGTCATGATCCACTGATGGGCCACTACCTGCAGTTTGAGAAACACTTATTATATACCTTGTAGAATTGTCTGCTTAAAAGAAAATTTAGTGGGCTGGGGATGTGGCTCAAGTGGTAGCACGCTCGCCTGGCATGTGTGCGGCCCGGGTTCAATCCTCAGCACCACATACAAACGAAAATGTTGTGTCTGCCGAAAACTTAATAAATAAATATTAAAAAAAAAAAAAAGAAAATTTAGTGATTTGGGCTGCAAAATGGATTCAAGGGAACAAAGCCCACTCTGATGTCCTTCATTTCAACCTTACTTCAGAATGACATTAGAGGCGTGGAGTCATGGAAGGTAATGGTATGCTTAAAATGATGAAGAGTTAATTTTGTGATTAGAATGTAGTAAAGTGAGTGTGTTAGGAGTGCCAAGGTAGATTAAGTCTAGGTTATTCCGTTTTTCTAAAGCTTAATAAACTAAAAAAGTAAAAGAAAAAACCTTAACCAGATAAATATGACTGGATACATGAGCATTATGCACAAATATTAACATATTGGTAAAGGGAAGGCAAAAAAATAGTAAGATATATAGTATGATAGATGATAGTAAGCTGTAAAAAACAAAAGTTAAACTAGAGACCTGAAAATAGGTAATATCGCCTATTGCACACACACATTCATAAAATCCAAATAGAAGTCTCAGTTGGAGTCCTTATAAACTTGGAGGTTTGTATATATGAACTTTAGGATCAGAATGCTCAAGATTAGATTAGTCACACTTTTTCTTTATCTGTTGAGAAAGTATTTTATCAGGCATAAGAGCATATCTTAAAGAAATAGTAGTTAAGGAACTGGGGCTTTTAACTCGGTGGTAGAGCACTTGCCTAGCATGAGGGAGGCCTGGGTTCAGTTCAATAACTAACACCACCCTCAAAAAAGTACTTCAAACTTTAGAGCCTGGGAATATCTCAGTGATAGAGCATTTTTTTACTATTCATGAGACCCTGGGTTCGATCCTCAGGCCATCCAAAAAAAAAAAAAAACTTTCAATGGATATTATTGCTTTAGAATTGGATGTACAGATTAGCAGGTTCTAGTAGGATTTAAAAGCTGACGTGTTTTAATAGGAGATTTTAGTTCATAACAAAATTAACGTTAAGGGCTAGGACTATAGCTCAATGGTAGAACATGTGCTTAGTATGCACCAGATCCTAGGTTCAATCCCCAATATAAAAAATAAAAAATAAACCACCATTTCGGAAAGGAATTCGATAAATGGAGTTGAAATATCTGGCTCTTTGGAAATAAAAATGTATAATTCAACTACATACAAATTACAGATGTATAAAACAAAGTTGGGGCAATTCTGGGTAATGAAGAAAAAAATTTTTTTCCTCCAGTTTTTTTTAAAATTTTAATTAGTTACACATGACTGTACAATGATCTTGATATTTCATACAGTTGAATCAGATGGGATATAATTTTCTCATTTTTCTAAGTGTACAGGTTACAGAATCACATTGGTCATGCATACATACAGCAATAATAATATCTATTTTATTCTGCTGTCCTTCCATTCCTCCCTTCCTCTCCACTCCCCTCCCATTGAAGAAATTTTTAATGACCATGGAGAAGTAGTTTGTGATAGGCTCTGGCCTTTGCTTAACATTTGCTGAATGAATGTATGTTTTGCCTTTATTTTTTTTTTTTTAAGCAACAGCTTTATTGAAATAAGATTTACATCCTATACAATTCACTTTTTTTTGGTACTAGAGATTGAACCCAAGGACACTTAACTATTGAATCACATCTCCAGCCCTTTTTAAAAAAAATTTTTTTGACAGCCTCACTAAGTTGCTGACTCTGGCTTTGAACTCACAATCCTCCTGGCTCAGCCTCCTAAACTATTGGGATTATAGGCATGTGCCACCAAACCCAGCCCAATTTACCAATTTAAAATGTACAATTCTGGGGTTTTTTGTATATTCACAGAGTTGTACAACATAACTATTCCATTTTAGAACATTTTTTTCACCCTATTAAAGAAATTCTGGGGCTAGTGTTGTAGCTCAGTGGTAGAGCATATAAGTAAATAAAATAAAGGTTCATTGACAACTAAAAAAATATATTTAAAAAAAAAAACAGTTCCTACCAATTTTTTCCTAGCCCCTCCTCACCCAGCCCTAAGCAGTTATCAATCTATTTTCTCTAAGGGCTTAACCTATTCCAAACATGTCATATAAATGGAAACACAATATATGTCATCTCTTATGTCTGATTTCTTTTACTTTCCATGTTTTCAAGGTATCAGTACTTCATTTCTTTGTACTACCAAATAATATCCTATTATATAGATACACTTCATGTATTCCATTCAATTTGTTGTGGAGTGTGCTCAAACTTGAACTTTGCGCTCATGAGACAAATAAGCACTCTTTCACTGAATACCAATCCCAGAGCTTTTTACATGCTTTTTACATGAATATCAATCCTGGTATTAAGAAAAAATTGTGCATAGGTTGGAGATGTAGCTCAGTGGTAGAGTGCTTGCTTGCTACACATAAGACCCTGTGTTTGATCCCTAGCACCATGAAGAAGGGAAGGAAGAGAAAAATTTATACCTAAGTTTTTGTTTGTGAATATGTTTTCATTTCTTTGGGGTATATATCTGGGATTGTGTTGTTGGGTCAGTTAACTTTTTAAAATTCTGAGGAACTACCAAGTTGTTTTCTGAAATAGTTGCACCAGTGTTTTTTGTTTTTGAGACAGGTTCTCACTGTGCTCAGTCTGGCCTCTCAACTCCTGGGATCAAATGATCCTCTCACTTGAGCCTCCCAAGTAACTGGGACTGTTGGACCCAATACAGTTGCACACTTCACATTACCACCAGCAGTATTTGAGCATTGTACTTCTCTCCATACCCTCTTATTTATTTCTAATATTATTGTTTATGAAGTGTTCTCTCACTGTGGTTTTGATTTTCGATTCTCTTGGATCACCTGTTCATGTACTTATTAGCCATTTATCTCTCTTCTTTGTATGTGGGCAGAGTGCAAGGGATTGAACCCAGGGCCTTTTACATGCTAGTCAGGTGCACTACTGCTGAGCTACATTCCCAACCATTTTTTTTTTAAATATTTATTTAGTTGTGGGTGGAAACGATATCTTTATTTTATTTATATGTGGTGCTGAGGAATGAACCCAGTGCCTCACACATGCTAGGTGAATGCTCTACCGCTGAACCACAACTCCAGCCCCCAGAATAGGGGATTTGGGAGAAAGTTGACATTTTTTAGCTTTAAGACATGGAAAAAATGGCATCAAATAGTAGTGGATGATAAGACATTGAAGAAACCACAGAGTTCTTATCTATCATATTGCAGGAAGAACATGTAGATAACAGTTTATTTCTTTTGAGACAATTTTGAATTCTGTGGTTTTCATTGCATTCTTCTCCTGAAGTGTCTGAGAGGCATGATAACCTTTTTTTTTTTTTTT